ATATTTTAAATTAAATTAATATTTTAAATATAAAAATAAAATTAATATTTTAATTATTTATAATTATTATATAATTAATTTAAAAGTTCATAAACTAAATTTTCTATATCATATTCTTTTTTATTACTATTATTATTATCTAATTCTAATTTTACTTTATTAATATTATATTGTGAAATATTAATATATTCAATAATAATAATTAGTTCTAAATTAAATAAATCCAAAATTTCTAATTTTTCATTTTCAATAATATTTTCACTTACTTCTGGCTTATATAAATTTAATAAAACTATATTTTTATCTTCTTCAAATGATTCTTCATAATTTTCACTTAATGATTCTTTTACTAATTCAATAATTTTATTATTATTAATTAATAGTTGAGAATAATACAATTCTTTTTTAGTATTTATTAAATAATATTAATAAATTTTGATTTAATAATTTGAATTAAAAATTGTATTCATCATTTACTATATATTCAATCCATAGATAACCAAATTCTTTCACAACTTGCAATATATGATATAATTGAAAATAGTTAATTGCAAAATCTTGAAGTTGTAATTATATTACAAAGCATATATTTCACTATTTTAATAGTATATCAATATCTTCAAGATATGATGTATTATATGAAAATTTATATAATTTATAATTTTGCAACTGTACTATTAATTCATTATATGAATTTTTTATATTTCTCATATTTTTCTATATGTTTCTAGCAGATATTGTAATTTCAGAAAATCAATGATCAGAAATTTCAACATCTATATTAAAATAAATATTTAAGTATAGTAATTATAATTAATAATATTATTAAATAAAATATAATTTTTATAATTTTAAAATATAATATATTTGATATTATATCACAATATTTAATAATTAGATTCAAATAAATTTAATATTATTCAATTCTTCTATAAGATAAATTAAATAATATTAAATTCACTTGAATCTAATTATTAGATATCAAGATATCATATTTCAAAGTTATCAGATGCTAAATTTAAAAAAAGTAATCTGATAAATTTGGGATATGATAACTCAATATTTAATAATCTTAATCATGTAATTTAATATTATTTGATTTGTCTTATCAAGAGGAATTGAATAATATTAATTATATTTGAATTAAATTATTAGATATTAAAATATTATAATAAATATTTTATATTCAAAAAATTATTTTTTATTATAATTAAAATTAAATTTTAAACTAAAAATCAATAATAATTTGATAAAATATTATAATAAAAAATATATCTTGGAATTTTGGATACAAAAAGAATATCAATAAATATATTTCATTATTAAATTCTTTAAATCTAATTATATAATAATAAATTATTAATAAATTGATAAAAAGTAAATTTTAAATATAATATCTTGATATCTAATAATTTAATTCAAATATAATTAATATCATTTGATTTCTCTTGATGAGACAAATTGAATAGTATTAAAATCACATAATTAAGATTATTAGATACTAAGTTAACACATTTCAAATTTATTAGATTACTTTTTTTAAATTTAATATTTGATAACTTTGAAATATAATATCTTGATATTTAATAATTAGATTTAAATAAATTTAATATTATTTAATTTATCTCATCAAGAAGAATTAAATAATATAAATTTTATATATATCTAATTATTAAATATTAAAATATTATATCTAAACATTATTAAATAAGTTTTAAATAATTAATAATAAATAACTTACCATTTATTATAGTTTTTAATGTAATAGATTTTAAAAGAGTGATAATTTGAAATTGATAATTAATTAAATAATATTTTAATTCATAATAATTCAATATAATAATCTACCAAATTAGTTATATTATCTTCTAGTTTTAGAATTACTTTTTTAATTAGAATTAAAATATTAGTAATAGTTTTAATATTATTAAAAAATTTATATTTATTAATAATTATTTTAATTACTTTATTAGTAATTTTATTATAATAATTATGATAAATCTATTATAAATTAATTAGTATTTAATAAAATTTAATATATTAATTATTAAATAATTATACTTACTTTTTCAAAATAACTTTTTAAATATAAAACTGATAATATATAATTAGCTATTATAATCTATCTAGTTTTAATATAAGTTTTCAATTCATTATCCAATATTTCTTTTTTAATTATTAATTTTTTAATAAATCTCTATATATATATAATTTTTTAAAATAAGTAACTAAAGTATTATAATATCTAATAATTTTTTTAGTAAAGAAATATTTTAAAAGATCATAAGATATTAAATTAAAATAATATATAATATAATAAATATTAAGAATTTTGAAAAATTAAGATAAAATTATATTTTGAACTAGTATAATATTTGCATCATTATTTGTTATAATAATAATAAATTTTTTAATTCTAATTTTTTGAAAAATATATAATATTTCTTCAGTAAGTAAGTTGTCAGTATGATATTCTTTTATTAAATTATGAAAATAAAAGAGATATTTATTATATGTAGGTATTAAAATAATAAAATTTCATAAAAATTGATTTATTAATAATATCTAATTATCAATTGCTATTATAAAAATAATAATTAATAAATAAAATTATTAATAAAATAAATAATAATATTTATCTAATATTAAATTATTTATTTATTAAAAAATATATTAAAATTTAAGTATAATTCATGTAATTTTCTGACTTAAAAGTTCTATTAATAATTTTTTTGTGATAGTAGTTAATATCCAATATATAAAGCTTTTAATAATTCAATAAAAAAGAGATATTTAATAGTAAAAAAAGCAAAATTACATATAATAAATATTTTAATTAATATATTATTAATAATTTTTTGTTATGAAATTGAAATAGATAAATTTTTAAAGTATTATTCTAATAATATTTATTTTTTAGATTTGAAAGATAAAGATTAAACAAATATAAAATTTATTTTTGATGTTTAATATTTTTTTTATATTGATCTTCAGTAACAAGTTGATAAAATTATAAAATAATTAAAGTTAAATATTTTAAATATTAAATATATTTGAAGAATAGAAGATTTAGCAATTTTCTAATATTGTAAATAATATTTACAAGTATCTTCATAATGATTATATAATATTTCTTTATTATATATAATATATTTCTATACTAATGAAAATTTTTTTTTATCAAATTTTTTAATATTTTATAATAATGATTCAGTTTTATTATTATCACTAAAAAAAGTAATAATAAATGAAGTAAATATAGATATAATATTAAAATTAGAAAAAAATGAAAAAAATATAAAAAAAAGTGAAAAAAATATAAAAAAATTATGAATAAATATATTTAATATAATAAAGATAATAGTTATATATCTAATTCAAAAAGAATAATAATTATATATTATATATTTTATTATAATAAAGATAAATATTATATAATAAAGATAATTCATTATATAATAAAGATAATATATTATATAATAAAGATAATATATTATATAATAAAGATAATATATTATATAATAAAAATAATATATTATATTTAATAAAGAAAACTAAATATATAAATTCTTATATTAATCATTTTTAGTTACAGATAAATGCATTATATAATAAAGATAATGTATTATATTTAATAAAAAAAACTAAATATATAAATTATTATATTAATCATTTTTAGTTATGAATAATTATGAATTATTATAGTATTATAATATATTATAATTCTAAGTTGCAATATTAATTAAAATTATTCATTATTAATTATAATTATTTACAACTAAAAATGATTAATATAATATATCAAAATTTAATAAGTTTATTATGTTATAATTATAATTAATATATATTATTCTAAATTTATTAGTTTGATTATATTATATTTATTATATTAGTTTACTAATCTATTACTTATTAATATAAAAAATAAAATAAAAATTTAGTTATAACACAATTATAACTAAATTTTTATTTTATTTTTTATATTAATAAGTAATAGATTAGTAAACTAATACAATAAATATAATAAAATTAAACTAATAAATTTAAAATAATATATATTAATTATAATTATGATACAGTAAACTTGTCAAATTGTGATATATTATTAAATATATAATTTATATTAAAATTTTTCATATAAAAACTTTTAAACATAATATTTTAATATCTAATAATTAAAATTATATGAAAATATTATTATTTTATTTAGTAAATTTAGATAAATTAAATAGTAATAGTTTGATAATATTCTAATTACTAGATATTGAGATATTATATTCAAAAGTTAATATAAATATTAAAAAAATATTTAAGTTTAAAATAAAATTAATTTATATAAATATTATATAATATAATAATTATTTAAATATTATATAAGATAATAATCAGAATCTAATGATCTTAATATCATTAAATTCTCTGAATTTTTGTGATTTTAATGATATTAAATTTATTAAAATTGGATGTAAATTGACTGAGATATTTAAAATTAAAGTAAGTTATTTAAAATTATATAATAATATAATATCTAAAATTTGATTGGCTAAAACTGATAATGTCATTGATGATGTAATTGCGGCTAATTGCGGCACATATGTTGCAACTACTAACAAAAACCGCAACTATTATAACTTAAATAAATCATCTTTAGACCAACTGCTATCTACCAATGGTAGTAATAGTCGATATGATCGTCGTGATAATTGATGGCACGTGTTCGTGAATCGCGTTTTAAGCAAAAAAATTTTTTTCTGTCCATCTAATACTAACGCATTAACACATTCGCGATAATGGAAGGTAATTTTTTTTGACGTGTTATGGAATAGTTTTTATTTTAATGAAGGAAGTCTTCTTTTCGTTAGGAATCCCTGTGGATAATCCTGCTTACTTCACCTTTGACCACGAATGGTCTCTGCTGAGTTTTTTACTATACCGTCAACAGTACAGCGATTTCCGATTTGATAAACACTGAGAACACGACCGATATGCCCGCAGTCTTAGAGCAATACTTACCTGGGGACAGGCACCTGAAGCTGCTACTCTGAGGACTAAAAAGGTGCTTGCTATATTAGGGGTTCATTCTTATTTTTGTTGTAGCGGACGGGTCCAAGGACATTTTTTTCTTTGGATGGGGCTGCGGTCGGTGGTTCCGTCCTACAACCAAAAGAAGAGTTTTATTAGAAGTATTTTTATACAAAAACCACCAACACTCCTGGCTGCGATCGGGTGTGCATGAGTTGCGGCTCCGGTAGTTTGATTTAGCTATTTACTGACTTGAATATTTTCTTTTTAGGAAGAAAAGAAATCACAGTCAATCGCCAAGTTTTGGGAGAATGTCGCGTCTGTAGAAGATCAGAGGATGGCGGCTATAGCTAGACGCAGAGTTGTGGTGGTATGACCATTAAGTGTGTCTCGATATATAGCATTATGAAAAATTAAAATGACTTTGTTTTCTTTCTGTGGTCTTCATTTCCTTGGATCTTTTTTCACGAATGATAGTAAGATGCTCTAATATTTTATCATAATTATATCTTTTGCCTTTTTCTCACCAATTTTGCCATTACTATTTTTTATAAGATTATTATATTGAATTATGAATTCTTTTCCATAGTTAATTCAGCATAAGGTTTCTTCCTGGTTAGCTTTTGTAGCATAATATTCAGCATTTATTGCTTTATCAAATAATTGTGCCAAGTCGAATAATAAGATTGTATCAGAATTTTGACGACGGATCATCGCTGAAATTTCAGTCACATGATTTGAATCTGAAAGACTATTGTCCTGAATACCATCAGCTATCACCTGAGTGATATTCTCTATTCCCTTTTTCTTGTGCGATTGGGATGTTTTATCCAGGCTTTTATTTTGATCCCAAAGCTTTTTCACAGTTTTCGAGTCCAGAGATTCAGGTGTCAACATGGTTGATATTTCGGATTATATTAGTGAAGTTAAGTTATTATGTGATTCTTGAAGTTTTTTTCCCGGTTCCTCTCTCTTATCTCACTACTAACCCTTTCCTTATGTATCATTTCTACAAAATCTAGGATCTCAGCTGAATTGTCATCGATAATATCTTGTGGTAAAGAGGTTGTAGATGTTTCAGGCTCCATTGAAGAATCAGATTGGGTTAAACTATGTTCTATTTCAGGCAAGAAATTAGGTGTAATGCCTTTCTCCTCTTCAGAATGGCTCTTGATAAGTGGTGAAATATCTTTTGTAGGAGATGGCTCCTGTTTATTAGTAATAGCCTGCATCTGTTTCTGTTCCAATTTCATGATTCTATCTTTAAGCTCAGTATTTTCTTCTGCGATCTGTTCCAATTTGGCGATCCTGGCTTTGAGCTCAACATTCTCAGCTTTGCGTTTGGTGCTCTCTTCCATAACCTGTTTTAAAAGCTCGGCATTCTTGGCTTCGAGCTCAGCCTTTTCGGCTTCAAGTTCAGAAATTCGTTGTCTCAATGAATCAATCTCGGATTGCATGTTTTAGTAATAGATTGTATATACTCAATTGTTTATTTAAAATGCGTAACTAAAGTAATAAAAATTTCGCGACGGCCGTCGTCAAAAATTCCAAAAAATATTGTTTACTAAAATTAAAAATAATAGATAAATATCATAAACATATATTTAATATTTTTATATCATTATTTATTACGTTAAAATCCAATGAATAAAGATATTTATCCGTGACGGACAAATTTTGCATTACATCGAATTGTTAAACACGAAAAGTAATTATCGATACAATGTGTAGTCTTCGCACAAAATCTTATTAATGAAAATGCCAATTGACCTATTTTATTAAAAATGCATTATTTCTTTTGCTTTTTTGATCGATAATTTTGTTTTTTTGATTGATCAGGAGTTGGTGGATTTGGCGTCACTGAATGTACCTTCCGCTTAGAGAGTAGTTTTACTTTTGGATCAGAATGTGGTTCGACTTTCGTGATGTTAGATTTCATGAAGGTCTAAACATAAATAATTATTAAAAAACAATGAATAAGTGAAGCAGAATCAAATAATCTCAGTAACACTCACAAAAAATTTCAGGCAAGATATTATTGCCTCGGATAAAACGGGAAGCTCTTGCCATATTGCTGGTATATAAAAACTTTCGTATTCACGTAAACAATATGATTTGGGGTGTATCGTGCACCAAAACAGAGATATTTCATTACGATGAGCCAGAGCCCCAAAACTTGCCAAGTTATTATAATCTTTTATACCATTATTGAACCGAAGAATTATTC